AGCAAGTATTTTCCCACATGCTGTAACTCCTGTAGCCATGGGCAGCCGTTGGCCATTTTGTGCCACCCAGCCCTAACACAACCTCCGAAGCAACAGTCAATGTATCCACCTTAGGGCAAATTAGCAGACCAACTGCAATAACTGCTTCAAATCCTCAACACTGTCGGGGAAGATCCTCAGTGCTTGTGCAATGACTACTTACTTAGTTAAACTACTGTCTATTCCTGTAGTGTTGGTTATACTAAAGAGGAGAATGCTCGTGTTTGTAAGAACCAAACTAATAAACTAATGCACAAAGTATTATTTCATAATTGTGAAAGCCTTGTATTTTCCCTTCAGGTGCACTTGGCCCATATTCTATAAATATATCTATATTTTCTGTTAATTTGTGGATGTGGGCATCACTGGAAAGACCTGCAATTATTGTCTATCTCTAATTGCCCATGACCTGTATAGCCATTTCAGAGTCAGCCACGTAACTGTGAGTCTGGAGTCATATAGCGAACATGCTCCGTCCCATAAAACACCTAATGGACTAATAGGTTTTTACAGGAATCTGACAGGTTATAGGTCACAATTACTGAGACCAGGTTTGTCATTCCAGATATATTTATTCTCAAGTGGTGGAATTTGAACAATCTTCTTTCAGGGCCCTGACTGTTGTTTGAGTGACATAACCATTATTTTACCGCGCTCAGTACTGGCAAGTATTTGTAAATGCCCAGCTGCTTCCCAAGATTAAACCATCTGGAAGTTTCAGTTTATTCAAAAAAAAACACTCAAATATGCACATGTACAGCATGCCTGGAGTGCAAATGACAGATCTTGAACTTTTATATACAAAGTAGATTTTTTTTTGTTTGTTACCTTCATGGCCTTCCTTAGCCGGAAATGGAAAATGATGACATACTAACCCAATGAAAGCAGTTGTTTTTATGGTGAAATGTATGCCTTATTTCATATGCACCATGTTGGCTGTGGGCTTGTATATACTTTCACAAATGAACCCCAGATGTATGTCTGCGAATGTTTCCTGTTCATTCACTGGCTGTCAGGAAATGGAATAAAATTGAGATACAAGAAGTTAAAAAAAAATGCTTCAATGGCATGTCAGATTGTTAGGTCACTATTCATAGCAGGTGCCTGCATGTTGAACATTGGTGTTTGATGATCTTGAGTTACTGCTGAACAGAATGCTGCTTCCAAACCAAATGGATATGCAGCATAGCTCTTACTGAGTACTCTGGGCTTCAGTATGGAGAATTGCTGATTTCCACAAAGACAGAAGAATCAAAAATGCTGTAAATGATTTTTCTTTTGTTAAATTCAAAGGAATTACTGTGCTATTTGTAGGGCTCAATATTCACAATTGAGTGAGCCACATTCTCTATGTTCCTGAAAAGCAGTCAAGTTAAAAAGTAGAATGCAGTAAATCATTTTTATTTCAGTCACTTGAGTAATTGAGACTGTGTTACAGATTTCAAATCTGCTCCAGACATTCCCCCTGAACTATCCTACCTGCTATGCAGATGTATGATTTGAGATTGGGAGTGTAATAATGGGAGAGGTCCACTTGTTGAATAGTCTACAGTCCTGGGAATGTGACTTCATATGAGTCCCTGCACTCTGATGAATGTTCAAGTGAAATGAGGTCCATATTGTAGAGAGGACCAAAACTAGAATTTTTAAAAAAAATATTTATTCTTCCCTGAGATGTGGGGTCCATCCCTAATTGCCCTGAAGTGTGTGGCTTGCTTGGTCATTTCAGGGAGCAGTTAATAGTCAACAATACAGCTGTATGTCTGGAGTCACCTGTAGACCAGACGGGTAAGGACAGCAGATGTTCTTCCCTAAAGGTCACAGAGTCAACCTTTTAGTGTTGTCAGCCTATCTTTCACAGTGTTTCTCAAACTCCACACTGCATGTGATTACCTTGCTTTGCATAGCAGTAACTGTTTAGAGAACACTGTTGGTTTTAAGAGCCCATATTTTCACAGCGTGATTTCATGCTTTTTACAAAAGTATGCAAAATGTCCCAATTTGCCAGTCCTTTAGGCTCCGGTTGAGAGAAAGCCAGGACCAAGGTGGCGTGGAGTATCTGTACTTAACAAGAATTACTGTTTCATAAACCCCCTTATAAAACTGCCTGACACAGACCTGTAGACAGACACAGACAGAAATGGACAAAAAAGGTTTCTATGGATGGAGGGAAAGACCAGGAAGGCAGTTCAATCCCTGTCCCCTGTCCACAAGGTTTGCTGAGATGATCCTTTCAGTCTGCTGCTCCCCGATTTTCCTACTCCAAGAACTTTCACTTTGTTTGCAGGAGATGCAGGGTGACTGGTTCACACTTATTCCTCTCACTTATTGGTTAAGAGCCACAGCCTACAGGAACTGATGAGGGGAATAAACTGCAACAAAAACAGAAGTTGTTGGAAAAGCTCAGCATGTCTGGCAGCATCTGTGAAGAGAAATCAGAGTTAATGTTTCGGGTCTGGTGACCCTTCCTCAGAACTGGATCAAACTGGCTTTTCCTGCTGAAAAAGCAGTCAGCTCCTTCCTCTTTTTTTGGAGAACCGATAGCTTCTGACCAATTATTTGCACCCACAAGCTGATCAGCTACCTGGGAGCCAATCACATAATTGTTGGCAGGCAGAAGACCATTCTCATTGATGATTGGTCACAATTCCCCAGACCAATTTGTTGCTGGCTGAAACTCCCTTCAATCCCCCCCACCTCCTCCCCAGCTCCAGCTCGCCTGTTGCAACCTTCTCCATTTTTTGAACAAACAGCAATGTAAACACAATGCATGGAGGTAACTTGCTTTTGAGAAAGTATAGTAATCCTTTCTAGAATTCTTAGTTTTTAAAACAACCCCTTTTGTATTTCAGTCCACAATCAAAACTACAGGAAAATATAAAGATATGGTCTCTACAAATGTCTCTACAAATCAGAGTACCACACAAGCACCTATTGGTCCTGCTCAACAGTTTATTCTCTTGTTGGTGGTGGTACTTTAATCTCAGGGCCACTGAGATATCCTCAGTTGCCCTGCAGTGCAGCAAGTGTTGTAGTGATCCCATTCCTTTATTGGAATGGAAATTCCAGGGAATTCCTTTGTCCCTAGATCACGTAGCAAGGCAGATGGAGAGTGAGAATTTCACTTCTTCGTCTTCCTTTTCAAGAGATTGTGATTATTTGCAGTCTGCTCCTTTGAATCACAATCTGCTTGATTGGTCCTCATTGCTGCTACAATTCCATTGGGTTACCAGGCACCATCATTCCATTCTCCGAGGAAACAGTGAGAGCGTGTGTCATACGTGTTTTCTAAGAGAACTGATCATGCCGTTGAAAATGAGCCCCTTTTGTGCAAGTCAAATCTTGAAGGGAAAGGGGAATTCTAAAAGAATCTTGAAGAGTTGTAACGGGAATTGTATCTTTGTTCTGAGTGTAGCTAGTGAGCTTGTGCATAAAGAGCTTTAACACATTGATGTGTGATCATATGGAACTGGGTCTCTAGGGCTCAAAATAAGATTCCTCTCCAACCATCCGCTATACATAGTGTTTTTCAATGAAGCCTGTTGCTGTTCACCCACAGAAGTGTAGCTCTCACATGACTACAAATGCCTGGAAATGTTGCTGTTCCCTGCAAATGAGGTAAAGGTAAAGGCATCATAGTTAGCAGCAGATACATGGGAACACCACCACCTCCAAGTTACCCTCCAAGCCACTCACCATCCTGACTTGGAAATATATCGCCGTTCCTTCACTGTCGCTGGGTCAAAATCCTGGAGTTCCCTCCCTAATGGCATTGTGGGTCAACCCACAGCAGGTGGACTGCAGCGATTCAAGAAGGCAGCTCACCACCACCTTCTCAAGGGCAACAGGGACGGGCAATAAATGTTGGCCCAGCCAGCAATGCCCACATTCCACAAATGAATAAATAAGGAAAAAAATGTTCCAGAGCTCCATGGGCCTACTGTCTCACTGAAGAGAGACGACTGGTGGTGAGTTTAACCTGAGGGTCACACTCCTCAGACAAAGGGTGAGGTTGAGAAGCTGGAATCTTCGTGGTAACCCCAGTGAGTGTGAGAATTGAACCTGTACATGAACATATGTAACTTCAAGCAAGTATTATTGAGCTACATTGAGAGCCTGACCAATAATCTTCAATCGGGTGTTAGTGTAATTCTAAACACACTGGGGATTGTTCATTTAGTGCATTACTGTCTTGTACGGTAGACAGAATGAATTTTTGCCTTGATGGTGATACCCTGTTAATGGAAAGTGCCACTTGTGTTGCTCCTGCAGAGTGGCAGTGGCAAACACTTAGCTTCACTTGGTCATCAAATTTTAATCTTCCTCCCTCATCCTGCCTGAAGCAACAGGATCAATCATGACTTTGTGTGATTCTAGTAGTTCTACGCTGGGATTTGATGGGAACGTGGAATACGGAACAAAAACAAATCAGCCATGGTCTTAATGAATGGTGAAGTAGGTTTGAAGGGCTGAGTGGCCTAAATCTACTCCTTTAAAAACCGAACAAAGTGCCGATGCTGTAAATCAGAAACAAAAACAGAAATTGCTGGAAAAGCTCAGCAGGTCTGGTAGCATCTGTGGAGCGAAATCAGAGTTAACATTTCAGGTCGAGTGACACTTCCTCAGAACTTTCTTATCACAGATGCTGCCAGACCTGCTGAGCTTTTCCAGCAATTTCTGTTTTTGTTTCTAAATCTGCTCCTTATTCGTATGTATCTCATGTATCCTTATTTGCATTAACGTAAAGTAGATAAACAGTAGGAGTGAAATAAAAGTAGCTGTCCATTCACTGTTGCATATTTTGTACCAATTCAATATTTATACCTACCTCAATAACTCTTTCCAGAATCAAAACAATTGATGAAATCTACTTCTAATTTTGTCCTTCACTTTCCAGATAATTGTTTTGTTCTAGTTTGACATCAGCACTGTGAGTGAAACATGCTTTTTTTCTCTGACAGCAAATTGTTCTCCAAAGTGCCAAAATGGAGGGATGTGCCTACGGCCCCAGCTCTGCGTGTGTAAACCAGGCACCAAAGGCAGAGCCTGTGAGGAGACGACATCCAGTGCTCATCCCACAAACAATCAGGACACTGTGGCACAGGGGCAGCCCATCCCGCAACAGGTGCCCCAGCAGACCGTGACCCAGAGATTGGTGCAACCTCCTCAGAAGATCAATTCACTGGGCCACATGTCTCTGACTGTGAAACAGAAACCTTCCATGATGGTGCCCCAGCAGTCTCAGTAAGTCCTGCACTCACTGCAATTTATAAAACTTTGTGTACACTGTAGCCAGGTTTGTGGATGACACAGAAATAAGGGGGAAGGCAGATGGTGAGGACGGCAAAGTGGTGGCACAAAGTTTGTAGGGAGATACGAACAGATTAAATGGGTGAGCAAAAAAATGGGCAGACGGAATATAATACGAGAAATTATGAGGTTACGGACTTTGGCAGGAAGAAAAGAGGACGTAAATATTATTTAAACATTGAATATTGCAGGACAAAGGGACTGGGGAGGTCCTCATATAAAAAATCACAAAAAGCCAACATAGAAGTTCAGTAAGAATTGGAAAAGCAAATGGAATGTCTGCCTTTATTTCCAAGAGAATGGAGTCTAAAAGTAGGGAAATCTCACTTAAGCAAGACGAGTTAGACCATACCGAGAATACTGTGAACAGTTTTGGTCTCCTTATCTTAAGGAAAGATTACTACAATTGGAGGCAGTCCAGAGAAGGTTCACTTGGCTGATCTTAGGTATAGAGGGATTTTCTTATGAGCAAGGTTGAGTAGGTTGGGTATATGCTCATTGGAATGGAGAGGAATGAGAGACAACCATACCGAACTATATAAGATTCTTAGGGGACTTAACATGTAATAAAACAAAGAATTGCAGGTGCTGGAGATGTGAAACAAAAACAAAAATGGCTGGAGAAACTCAGCAGGTCTGGCAGCATCTGTGGAAGAAAGCACAGTTAATCTTTCAAGCTTAGTGACCCTTCTTCAGAACTGTTAGAAGCTAGGGAAAGGTGATGTGGACAGGGTAGATGCTGAAAAGTGGTTGCCCTTGTGTTGAGAGTCTAGGATGAGAGGGCGTCATCTCAGAGTAAGGGTCCACCCATCTAAGACTGAGATGAGGAAGAAGTTCTTCTCAGAGGGCAGTGAATCTGTGGAACTCTTTAGCGCAGGGAGCTGTTGAAGTTGGGTTCTTGACTATATTCAAGAATGCGGTTGACAGATTTATCAGTGAAAGAAGCAAGGGTTTTGGGGAAAAGACAGGGAAATTAAATTGAGGATTATCAAATCGGTCACAATCTCATTGTATGACAGAGTGGGCTGAGTGGCCTACTTTTTTGCCCTCCATCTTGTGGTCTTAAGGTGTAAAGTGAGAGCCTTGATTGAATGCACCACAAATAGTGCTGGATTGGTCCATGTTGACTTTGGGGAAAAAAAATAAGCTGTTAATGCGACATTGCTTTCATTTCTGGAGTAGGCGCGGATCAATGAGGGAGGAAGGCAAGGCAAACAATTGTGTAACCAAATTGGTTACTTGACTCGCACTGTTCATTCATAAAATCCTTACTGTGCTGAAAGAGGCCATTCAGTCCATCGAGTCTGCATTGACCCTCCAAAGAGCATCCCACCCTATCCATGTAACCCTGCACTTCCCATAGCTAATCCACCCAGATTGCACATCCTTGGACACTATACACAATTTAGCATCACCAATTCATCTAACCTGCACATCTTTGGACTGTGGGGGAAACCAGAGCACCCGGAGGAAGCCCACACAGACACAGGGAGAATGTGCAAACTCTGCACAGACAGTCGCCTGAGACTGGAATTGAGCCTGGATCTCTGGCGCTGTGTGTGGCAGCAGTGCTAACCACGGAGCCACCGTGTCACCCATATCTTTCATAACATTGCTTGAGACTCAGCAGGAAGACTGGTTTGAGACAGAAAGGTGTTTAGATTGATAAGTGCCCAGGGCCTGTCATTAGAGAGGAACTGAGAATGAGAGAAGTGCAATGGGTAGGAGAGCAGTCTGGGTCGTGGTGTAGGAGAGTGTACAGGCATCTGTCTCTGTTTCTCTTCAAAGTTGTCTCTCTGGATGTGATTATCCCTCGCAGGGCACATGACTGGTAATACCTGGTTATCTGGAGAGGCAGTCAGTCTGCAGTCTTGCAGACACAAAGGCTTGGGTTTTTGGAAGATTTTACAGCCAGTTTTCCACTGGTTTCTGGACTAAAATAAGGCCAATATGAAAGCAGCATTTGTGATTTTGTATTGCAGTAATGAAAGTGTTTTATGTTTAATGTTTGGCTGCTTTGTGCACTACACAGTGAATAATTACAGTTACTGTTACTTCTGGAAGAGAGTTCCTCTTGTTCCCACAATCCCAACTGAGCTTGTAATGTGTATTTTTTGAAGATGTTTTCCACCCATACAGAATGGGTGCATTTCCAACGACTGTGGCTGCTCCCCAGCTGTTGGCAGACTAGCTTGTTACTGGGGGCGATTAAGTCTGATCCCATCATCACTCAAAGGCCACAGACAGATACGTTGCAGCAGGTTTCCTGGGGTCAGAAAGGAGTTACAGCACAGGAGGAAGCCATTCACCTATCATTCACCTGCTCTATGCAGAGCAATCTGATCAGTCCCGTTCCCCTGCTGGATCTGTGCAGGTTTATTTCACTCAAGTCCCACCCAATTTCCTTTCAAATTCATTCATTGTCTCTGCTTCTACCACCCTCAAAGTCAACCAGTTCCATGTCATTACCACTTGATGTTCTTCCTTGACAATACTGCTGCATCTCTGTTCCCCTAGTCCTTGTTCTATCAGCCTTTTCAAACAGTGTAATCTTTGTTTACTTTGTAGAAACCTATCACGATCGTTTACACCTCTGTTAAATTCTTCTGGACTTACCTATTCTCCAAGGAGAAATAATATAAGCTTCCTTATCCTAACCATGTCCCCAAATTCCCTCATCCTGTTTTAGTAAATCTCCTCTGCAGCCTCTCAGGGATCCTCCTATCCTTCTGAGAATGTGATGACCAGACCTGGATACAGTGCAAAAGCTGCAGCCTAACCAGAACTTTATGAAGATTCAACATGATACACTTGTTTTTGTACTCCAGCAACAGAATTTAGAAAGCCCAAGATAATATATTCTTTGCTAGTTGATCTCTCTTTATGTGTTGCCAGCACCAAAGATCTCTATAGATGAACCTCCAAGTCTGTCAATCTTTGCAGACTCTTTCAAATGGAACCATCTAGTTTTTTTTTTAATTGCCTCTCCCTATTCCTTTTGTGTAAGGGAGTCTCTCAGACTTCTCTGTATTAAATTCCATCTGCTACTTGTCTTTGTTCTGCTGGCCTATCTATATGCTATTGTAATTGATTGGCCATCAGCTACACTTGCACATTTTGTATCATTGGCAAATTTTGACCATTTATTATATATTCCAATGTTTGAGTCATTTCTGTAGAGTAAAATAAACAACGTTCCTAGCATTGAAATATTGAGGATAACAAACGTCTACCAACTTCCAGTCTAAAATAACAACCATTTACCAGAACACTCAGTTTCTTGACCATGAAGTATTTTTTTTAATCCAAGCTGACACTACCCCTTCTATTCCATGAACCTCAGTCATTCTGACCACCAATTTAGGATTGTCAGTTAAGCTTGCAGTGTTGGCTCACTTGTGTATGCTGGAACCTACATACATTAATAAACAGGGCCTATTTTTTATACACAGAAAGAATAGGTGCACCTATACTGTGTACCTGTTTCAACTCAACAAAACACATGACAAGACATTTTCTAGCCCATTCCTCAGGGCATTGCCTTGACCAACTAATAGTCAACCGTCTTGGTTTAAGTTTAAACCAAGTTTGGTGGTTAACTGTCAGTCATCATCTAGCCAGTGCATTCGCCATGGCAATGCCTCCCCCAACAGAGTTCAGTTGTCAACCAATCAGTGCTCTCTTTTCATGCATATGAAAATATTGTTCCCATTTACATTACTGTTTCTTGTGAATGTGCTAATAGGTACAATATGAAAAGCTTCCAGAAAGTATCTTTTCCCAGCAAGACTCAATCTCAGTTTTGTTAGCCAACCTTTTATACTTTACTTGCTCTTCTGCACTGCAAATCTAAAACTTTATAACATGATGATCACTCTTCCCTGAGTTCTACCCTCCCCCACCCCCAAAAGCTTGTCCCATATGGCCCACCTCATTCCCTGATACCAGATCCTGCAATGTCTCTTTTCTAAATGGGTAGAGAATATACTACTCAAGGAAGTTCTCCTGGGCATGGTTCAGAAAGTTCCCATTGTCCTTACCCTTTACTCTAAGAAAGTCCCTAATGGTTTATTGAAGTTTCCTGATATCGCCACTATATATTTCTTGCATTTATCTCTGATTTCCATGCAGTTATCTTTCGCTTTTGTTTCTCTCTCTCTCTTCCTCTTACTTTCCAATAAAATACCACCACTTGTACTATTATCTCCTTTTTACATCTCACCTCTAACCAAATGGATTCTGTTTTTGGCACCTCCAGGACATCCTCCCTTTGCACTTTACAATATCTTCCTTAATCCACATTGCTACCCCATCTCACTTTTCTTCTCCCTTATCTTTGAGCATGTCGTGTCCTTGAGCATGTCATGTCCTTGAACATGACGTGCCCAGTCCTCACTGTTTTTAAATCATGTTTTCATCCTTGCAACTGCGTCATATTCCCATACGGCTAGGAGCAAACGACTGCGGATGCTGGAATCTGTACTGAAAACAACAAATGCTGGAGATCACAGCGGGTCAGACAGCATCCATGGAGAGAGAGTCAGCTACTGTTTCAAGTCTAGATGACTCTTTATCAGAGCTTTGATGGAGAGTCATCTAGACTTGGAATGTTAGCTTCTCTCTCTCCATGGATGCTGTCTGACTCAATGTGATCTCCAGCATTTGTTGTTTCTCATACGGGGAGGCAATGGCCTAGTGGTATTATCACTGGACTGTTAATCTAGAGACCCAGATAATGTTCTGGGGATCCGAGTTCAAATCCCGCCATAGCAGATGATGGAATTTGAATTCGATAAATATCTGGATTAAGAATGTAATGATGACTGTGAATCCATTGTCAATTGTCGGAAAAACCCATCTAGTTCACTAATGTTCTTTAGGGAAGGAAATTGCTTTCCTTACCTGGTCTGGCCTACATGTGGCTCCAGACCCAC